ATTAGAGCAGATTATGCTAAGTGAAGCTAGCCAATCCCTAAAAAACAAATGCCAAATGTCTTCTTTGATATAAGGAGAGTAACTAAGAACAGAGTAGGGTTGAAGAGCATGAGAAGAAGATTAATATTAAACAGGGATGAGAGGTGGGAGGGAAAGGGAGAGAGAAGGGAAATTGCATGGAAATGGAAGGAGACCCTCAGAGTTATACAAAAGTACATACAAGAGGAAGTGAGGGGAAAGGGAAAAATAATACAAGGGGGACAAATGAATGTCAGTAGAGGGGGCAGAGAGAGAAGAGGGGAGGGGAGGGGAGGGGAGGGGGGGAGTAGAGGATAGGAAAGGCAGCAGAACACAACAGACACTAGTATGGCAATATGTAAATCAATGGATGTGTAACTGATGTAATTCTGCAATCTGTATATGGGGTAAAAATGGGAGCTCATAACCCACTTGAATCAAAGTGTGAAATATGATATATCAAGAACTATGTAATGTTTTGAACAGCCAACAATAAAAAATTAAAAAAAAAAAAGAATTGCTGTTTGAATCTACAAGGCTGTGAGTGGCTCATGTTTTTGTGCCCAGCCAGACTGTGGCAGGGGGTGACGAGCAACTTGTGTACGTTGATACAGCAGGAGTGGGAGCAACTTGTGTACGTTTATACAGCAGGAGTGGGAGCCGTTTATTGTAGGACAGGAGGGGTATATATACATTCCACACAGCTTATCTAATTAACATAAACTCGATACAGCAGTCAACCAATCAGGAATCTCCACACTTAATGGCTCGCTGGAGTTACTTCACAAACCACTCCCTCTGGCAAAATGCCAGGTGCCATCCAGACTTGTTAACAGACTCTAACATTTGCCAGGCGCCATCCTGACTTGTTTACAGACTCTATCAATGAGTTGCATGACAATTGAAAAGGGAGAAACATTCCAACCCCTGAGTATCTCTCCTTTTAAAAATAATGCACAAATTATAGGCCATTCCAGTAAAATTGAGGCTTTCAGTTCCATCGACTTTAAGCATGAATGACTGAGATAACTGTCTGCTTAGAACAAAAATCTGCCAATTACGCACCAGTGTTGCTGAGTTCTAGCCTTCAACAAAACATGCTCCTGGCCGGCGACTCCCTGAGGTCAAGCGAGGCCCAGGCAGGGAGTCTCTGGATGGTTGCTATTTCCTGCCACTTGCTCTAGAAGCCAAGTGTCTGGGGGGCTCTGCCTCAGCTTCCCGGGACCCACCTCTCACCACTTGCTGAAGCTCTCCCCTGGGACAGAACCTGAGAGGAGGTCCAGTCAGAAGTGTGGGCAGGCCAGAAAATGCCTGGTGTGCACTACAGGGGACAGCGGTGGGGACAAAAGCAAAGTTGCGCCTTTTGCCTACTCATCCCCCTGCAGGTCATCCACGGGCCCATCAAGCGTGGGTGCCTGAGAGTCCCTCACCAGGGCCACCTCTCCAGGGCAATGGCACAACCTGGGATACACACCTGGACACTTTGGGCCTCAGACTGCAGCCCAAGGCAGTGCAGGTGGAGACCAGATCTCAGAGCCCAGGTGAAAAGAAAACGCCACCCACTGATAAAAATCATGTGCCTAAGCTGGGCGCACTGATGCACGCCTGTCATCCCAGCAACTCCTGCTGAGGCAGGAGGAGCGCAAGTTCAAAGCCAGCCTCAGCAACTTAGCGAGTCCCTGTCTCAAAATAAAAACAAATTTTTTTAAAAAATAAATTTTTTAAAAAGCTGGGGATGTAGCCCAGTGGTTAGGTGCCCTGGGTTTAATCCTTGGTTCAAAAAACAAAAAAAAATCATGTGTTTAAAAAGTAGAATCATGACGCCCATACAATATTTGAGTGTGTGTCAAACTCCAAGTTAATTCATTAACTAATGAGGGAGCCAGTGAGATGTGAGCACTGTCCCAAGGGTGGGTCTGAAGAACACATGTCCACAGCACAAACTGACATGAAGTAGTGTCTGTCCCCAGGGTGACCATCAACTGTCCTCCACCCAACAGACACCTGCGTCTCTCTGCTCACAGCCACCGTCAGTCATCAGGTGGCTCAAAGACGACAAAGGCAGCCCAGAAGGGTGTTCCAGCAGGACTTTCAGTCGCCTGTTTTCTTTCTTTCTGGTTTACCTCAGAGTCGTACCACTTTTCCTGAGCAGTCTGTGGGGCTTGGAGAGCCAGCAGGGCACAGGCAGGGGGTGAATGCTCCCGTCTACGGCTTCTTCAGTTTGTCCTGCCGAGTCCACACTCCTGCCCCTAATGAGGCCCATAGCAGACGCCCATGTTCTCTCTGTCCCTCTTGGATACTAACAATCCAGTCCATCCATTTAAGCCAGTGGAAACGCTGTCCTTGCTCCAGGGCCCTGGACGCCCACAGTAGCTCCTCCCACACTGCATGAGGGCAGCCGACTCCCAGGATCACGCAGCTGGAGGGCCACAGGGTCCCCCGGCTGAGTCCCTCACGCAGGGAGCTGGTCCTGCAGACAGCCCCGGCCCCACTGGAGCTCTCTCTGCCCAGCTCCTGACTCCACGGAGCCTCCCACTCTCCTGCTGACCACGCAGCCATCCTCCTGGACACCGTGGGCCTCTCCACTAGTGGCTCTCTGCCCTCAGGGGACATTTGGCTTGCCTGGAGATATCTGGGGTTGTCACCACTGGGTGGGAGTGACACTGGCATTCATGGGTGGAGGCCAGAGATGCCACTAATATATCCTAGGCTGCACAGGACAGTCCCCTACACACACACACACGAACACACACGAACACTTACCCAGCCACAGAAGCCCCTGGGCCGGGATGGAGCAGCCTGCGCTATGTGATGGTCCACAGGAATCTCACACAGCTTCACACCAACAGCCTTCTTGCAGCCAGGTCCTGCCCAGTCCTCTGCCCAGCATCCAGCTATGGCCTACTGCTCTGAAAGCCGTCCTCAAGACCTCCTGGACACACAGCAATCACTGAAGTGCTCCCCTCGCCCTGGGTGAGCTGGAGGCTCGCGGACCCTCTCCCAGGACAGCCACACTCTCCACCCCTGCTTCCGGGAGGAGTCTCACCACCTCCCTCAGCTCAGAGGCAGAGGGGGCCGCAGGAGGAGGACCAGGCCCTCTGGCTAAGGAGATCTCAGCAGGGCGGGGTCTCTGGAGCCTCTGCTGGACCTTGATACATACTGTTTCAAAAGTGCAGATACAGGCTGAACCGTGTCCCCCGATTCCAATACCTCAGACTCTGGTGCTATTGGAGATAGGGCTTTAAACAGTGGTGAGGTTAAACTGAGGCCATCAGGGGCCCTCATCCAATCTGACAGGTGTCCTTTCAAGAAGAAATGTGGTCACAAAAGACACCAGGGTTGAAGGTGCACAGAAGAAAGACCAAGTGAGGACTCAGTGAGACGGCGACCACCTGCCAGCCAGGGGGAGGCCTTAGAAGGCCCCGTGACACTTTGATCTTGGACTTGAGCCTCCTAAAGGGGAGAAAATAGATTTCTGTTACTTCAGCCTCCTGTTCTGTGGTATTATACTGCAGCAGCCCTGGAAGGCTAGTGAATGTGTACACTGGCTCAACTTCCAGTCCTTTGGAGGAAAGAGGCATGGTATAAATCCCTAAAAATAGGTAAACAAATATTTAAACCAAATATCACACATTTCTGGTACATGCCAGGAGAGAAGTGACATTATTTAGTATTAGATAATAACGAGGACAAAGGCTGACACCAACCAGGCATGTGCTGTGTGCAGGCACACTGATAAACCCTGATCTCGTGGTTTAGTTAACCCTCATGGCAGCTTACAAGAAGCCGTGTCCTAATCTCCATTTCACAGATGACCAAACCCGCCCTGGAAAGGTTAGTGCCCTGCCCGGTGCCGTGAAACCAACACGCAGCAGAGACAAGAGCTGGACCAAGACTCTGGTTCCAGACACTTGTGATTATGCTGCTTAACCACTGAGCTACATTCCCAGTGCTTTTTATTTTATTTTGAGACAGAGTCTTGCTGAATTGCTGAGGACCTCACTCAGTAGATGGGGCTAGCCTCTACCTTGCGATCCTCCGGCGTCAGCCTCCCAAGTTGCTGGGGTTAGGGGCGTGCACCTCCATGCCCTGCTTGGACAAATGCTTTTCTGAGTATGCACTCCTCCTCAGGCCTGTCTGGCAGAAACACCTGCCTCTCCCTCTGTGAGGCTGCAGTGCATTGAACACTCCAACCTGGGAGCGGTGTGAATTTCAGCCTGGTTGGTGGGCTGTCAAAGGCACATAACTCAATGTGCGTATCTCAGATGTTCTGTTCCTAGACCTCCAGCACTGGAAAGTGAGTCTCCTTCCTTGTAGGACCTCTGTGTTCCAGAAGCATCCATGGCATCCAGTGGGGAATGCCAGGACCTGGCATCCTCACCCACTGACGTCACCATGTGCAGCTGTCAGCTGTGTCACCCTCCCCCACTCCCAGCACCGGCTGGGGTTCCCAAATGCTCTGCAGCTCTCCACCTTCTCTGAGCCAGGACGATCAGGCTGCTGGACTCCTCAGGCCATGCAGGGTCTCCTGGTGCCTTAACCTTGGTGAGTCACAGGAAGCTCTGAGAACACGTCCACGACATACACCTACAGAAACCAGACTGATAGGCTCTTGCTCCTGCCCATAACAGGGCCATGTCCCAGGCCCTGCCAAAGGACAAGGGACAAGAGCACCTCTGGTGTCTCCTGACCAGTGATCTCTGATGTTCCCATTTCTCTCCTCCAGCCGGGACCATTGTGAGAGGGAGAGAGGATGCGGGTGGGAATATTCACCTGGATAGTTTTGACTGCTGGAATCAGAGACCCGAAGTAACAGTGTCTTACGAGAGAGAAACGCTTGGGGTTCTGTCCTATGTGAGCATGAAAGCAGGCAGCTCACAGCTGGCACAGCAGCTCCAAGCCCTCAGAATGGCGCCCTGGGGGTTTCTAATCTGTCGTCCTGCCAACCTCAACACACAGATTCCAATGTGAGGTCCATGCTGGGCTCAAGCCCCCAACCATCCCATCCTCAGCCCAGTCACCGGGAAGGAGGGGAAAGAGAAGGCTTGCGGAACTTCTCTAAGGGCCCAACGTGGAAACTGGATTCTCCTTCCTCCCTAACACCACAGGCTAGAATACAGGCACATGACCCCATAATCAGCAGGGAGGCTGGAACGTCAAGCTGGGAAGCCACAGGTCCTGCTACAGAGCTCACTGTCATCCAAGAAGAGGGGAACAGGTACCAGCTGCAGGGGTCTGCTTGACCTGACCACAGCCATCTTGAGCCGTAACCACATGACTGCCCAAGCAACCCTGGATGGTTTTTCCGGAGGGATCCTACAAACAAACAAAAGCACTGGAGTAGCCTGTGGAGCCCTGAACAGGGCCCAGTCATGGTCGCGCCAGGAGCGTGCCTGACACCTTTGATGTGGGCTTGAGATAAACCAGGTCCATCCATCTTGGATGAAGTCCCTTTTGTCCTGAACATTAGATGAGCCCCTCCTTCTGGCCCTAGTCACATAGATCCTGCTGCTGCCAGTTCCACACTTCTGCTTCCATCAGTAGCTCCCCGGTGAACTGCCTGCTGTGCAATCATGGACCCAGCCGCCTCTCTCCAGTCCCACTGCCCCTGGGACAGTTCTCTCCAGTGTCACCTACTGCAGTGATGATGCACTGGAGGATCAGGAAAGGTAGAACCCAGGGGGCAGGTTGGGATTGCAGCCGGTGCGGTCACGTCCGTCGTCCCAAGGTGTGGTTCTTTGTTTGCAAGCTCTTCTCTCCGTTGGACTGCGTGTTCTTAGAGCCACTGACCCAGAACTCCTGTCTCTGTTCACAGTCCCCCTGGCCTAAGCCCAGGAGAGGTCCTGTGAGACAGAGAGCTCCAGAACTTTCTCGCACTAAGAAAAACCTTCTCATGCTGAGCACAGGTGCCAAGGAAATCATAACTGACACGTTCTGACTAAGTCCACCCTCACTAACTCTGCATGGTACCTCACCTGACTTGTTCCTGTAAGTCATAACTGCCCTGTGGGTCAGCAGGGTAGCCGTCCAGCTGCTTCCCCCTGTTTGATCAAACTGTGAGGTTCCGCTTTCCTTTGGCCAGTGTTGGCTTGTTTCTTATAGGGAGGGGCAGAGGCCCACTGAGGCTGGCCCCCAGGGCCCAGCAGGCCCCTGGCTTGGCTGCGGATGCTCTAGAAATGTTTGTTTTTATCACAATTAATTGTTCACTGGATTCCCACCTTTTTGAATGGCCCACTTTGTGAAAAACTAAAAATCTCCCCCCTCTCTGTCATTTAGAAGGCACTTTCCTTGGGCAACGTTCTGAAACCTCTCCCAAGTCCACCTCACGAAGGTAGAGGAGTTTTCATGGAAGAAAACATCTCTCAAGTGCAGAAATCAAGATGAGTGGGTGGCTGCTTCCTTCCTGTCTAGGCACTGCTTATGGGGACATTTTGCTGAGGATGGTGATGGCTTTTAAAAATTAGAATTGTTCTCGATTTCAGGTAAAAACTCAAAGGCAGCCAGTCCATGCTTGGTAAGGAGTTTCTTAAGTCAGTAAGTCCTCAAGTTCTTACTATAGCCCTGGTCCTCGTGGTACCAGGTTTTGGCTGTAGCTCCAGCCATCACGTGATCTGCAGGCAGTCAGATGGATGAAAGAACAAAGTGCAGGACTAAAGCTGTCTGCCAGCTCTCCTTCAGGGAGCATGGCTGAAAGCTGCCGCATAACTCTGCTCCCCTCTCCTATTGGCCAGAATTGAGCCACAAGGACACATCTAGTTTCCAGGGAGTCTAAGAAACAGAATACTTGCTCTGAGTGGCCATCTGTCATTTTGCTCTTACGGTGCGTGGCATTAGGGAGTGAAGCTGTTAGAGAAGGTGACAAGCAGAGTCTGCCATCCTGGGTTGGTTTGATCTCAGATTAATGTCAATGAAGTATTTGATGAATTAAAACATGCTCATTACTTTATTCCTTTCATTCTGAGCATCGTTTAAATTTTAAAAGTAAGTTCTCGGCTTCCTCTCCGGTCCTCTGGGGAAGGATCCTTCGTGACAGCCCCACTCAGGTGCTGCCCAGCAGCCTGGGGGCTTCTCAGGGCCCCTACATGGGGCCTCTCCTGCTGCTCTTCAACAATTCACCATCAGCGGAGACGGGGAAATGAAGGAAAGGGATGAATAAGAGGAATTTGGAACGGTAACAAGCAAAAGGAAACTCACAGGGGGCTGATGGTTCACTGGGAAGCATGAATCTTTCATCTCACGAGCTTCTTTGAGAGGGAAAAGTTTTGCTGTCCTTGGATCTTAATTACAGCAAATCCCATGCTTTAAAGGAACACGTGATCCAGAAGTTGAGCCAGAAATGATCACCAGGGCATCTAAAAACCAACGAGTCGAAGAAGAAATAGAGCATCTTTGGGGAGCCATAGGCCCCAGCTGTTTGTTTTAATGCTTGTGATCACCAGGACTTTCTGGGTCAGACTCCCTCACCCAGCACCAGACAACATGACTGTTCAGTGAACCCCAAGGTCCAAACGCAGCTCCATGGCCAGAGCGGGGCTTCTGGACTTGGGCACTGTTATTTTGGAGCTGGATGACTCTTCCCTGTGGGGTGTTTCCCGGGCCCTGTGGGATGTTCAACAGTATCCCTGAGCTCTCCAGGCTGGAAGCCCATAGCAACCTCCTCCCCGGCTGGGACAATAGTGTCTCCAGACATTGCCACATGTCCCCTGGGGCAAAAATGACTATTAACCATTGGCCTGGGTGTTCTCAGAGCTTTTAATCAGACACTCAAAGATGATAAGTGTAAATTTGATTTTATTCAGAGACCATGATACTACTCTGGTCCAAAGTTTTCAGTTTCTCATTCATTCATCCAGGACCTCGGGATCATAGGACTCCCAAGCCAGGGGAAAGCTCCACCCTCCCAGACTCAGAGGCCTGGCCCGCGGCCCACAGCAGGCCTTAGGCCCTCTATAAAGATGGTCACACCTCTCTCACAACTGCCCCACAGAAGAAATACCTGGGACTTGGCAAAGTGAATTCACTTGCCCAAAGACACACA